ATATATTTTTTTTTTCTTTTACAGTACTGGGGATTGAACTCAGTACCTTTTCACTAAGCTATGTCCCCATCTCTTTTAAATTTTTTAATTTGGAGACAGAGTCTCACTAACTCACTAAGTTGACTAGGCTGCACTTGAACTTCTGATCTGCCTGCCTTACCTTCCCAGAGTGCTGGATTGCAGCCATGTGCTAGCATGCCCATCTGGAAAACAAGCAGGTTCTAAGAAAGCTACACACATATCTACTCTACGACCTAACCATTCTTCGACTAAGTATTTGCCAAAGAAAAATGAAAACTCATTTACATGAAGACACCTGTACAAAGATATTTATAGCAGCTTTATTCCTAGTACTCCAAACTGGGAACAGCCAGGGTATGGATAAGCAGACTGTGGTATGGTCATGTCAGGGAATACTACTCAGCACTAAAAGGGAACAAACTGCCAACTGCTACATCAATATACTGTAAATGGATGTCATGAACCACTATGCCTGTTCAAACCAGACACAAAATAAATACTATGAAATTCTACTTAAAGTGCAAGAATAGGCAAAGCTAATCTATGGTGCTAGAAGAGAGAATCTTTGTTCCTTAGAGGTCCTGACCAGGAAATGGCACAGAGAACACTTGAGAGAGCCAGAAATAGTCTATATCCTGATCTGAGGGTCAACACAGGAGTATACATGTGCAAAATTCTGTTCAGCTGCACATTGAGGATTTGTTCATTGCATGGGATGAAATTATTTCTCAGTCAAATGTCTGATAAAGAAAAAGAGATTCACACTTGTTTTTCACCTGAACTTTGAAATTGATTAAGATCTGTTTTTATCATCCTGCAGACCACGGAGAAGCTAAACTCTGGAGAGTTTCAGTGTCTTACCCAGAGCCACACGAGGCCACAGTGCAAGACCAGTGCCTGCCTTCAAGTCTTCTGCTATGGAGGCCAGTGTGTGTATCCTAAGAAAGCCTCAGAAGTAGCCAGATGTTATGGTTCATTCCTGTAACCCCAACTACTTGGGAGGCTGAGACAGGAGGGAAACAAGTTCAAGACCAGCCTGAGTGGATATTTTAATGAGAACCTAGCTCAAAAAGGGAAGGGGGTCTGGGAATATAGTTCAGTAGTAGAGAACTTGCCTCTCATGAGCAAGGCCTTGATTTCAATCCTTAAACCACAAAAGCATAAATAAATAAACAAGAAACTCAGACCTGCATTTAGAAACCTCATGAACTCTAGTAAGGAGTTATCCAGAGAAGTGCTTAATAGACTTCACTGCAAACTTTCTGAGGCGAGATTTGCAATGAATCCCACACTCATTAACCATCAACAGCTGACTGTCAGGTGACATTGTGAAGGTGGTAGGTTTCTTCACACAGCTGGTTGTTTTATTTGTTATTAAACATATTGGCTGTTGAGTGAAAAAGAAAAAAAAACAATAACATCCTACGCATATCACATTCCTGCTGTGGAAAAACAGCTTTGCTGACATCTATCAATGTTGTTTATGTCAAATTGGGCAATTTGTCACTGATGCTGAATTTGCCAAAAGAAAACTGAATTTGATTGACAAGGGTTTGGGGTTCTTCTCTCTTCCTTTTCAGCATTCCAGATGTTTAAAAAATTGCATCCACCCCCAGGAAGACTCTTCCATGTGTGAAAAAATGTACTGAAGGAGACTGGAGAAAATGGTTTCAGCTTTTGTAGAAATTTGCTGCCAAGAGCCCCATCTTCTTGATTGGTTTAAATTACTTTCCCCTTTCCATTGTTGCCTTTCAGTGGAGCCATCTGTTTTAAGGCCCATCTGTCAAGGGCTCCGTTGGGGTGATTAGTAAATGTATCAGCAGCTGGAGTTTCAAGAGAAAAAAACTTAAATGACAAAAGGCAAGTGTCCCCAAGACTGAAAGTAGAAAACAGAAACAGACTTGTGGCCGTGGTCACACTTAGAAACCAGAGGATTCAATCCTTCTGTGCAGAGCCAAGAGAAAATTACTGCCAGCAAACGATTCTGGAGGAAGGTAGTGAACTTGGGTGACTTTAGGCATGTTATTTTTTTCATATTGTAGGTACTCTTTTTTGTTGTTTTTTTTCCTTATCTTTTATTTGGTGATGGGGGCCTGGGAATTAAAAACAGATAACAATAAGCTATCACCAGCTCTTTTGGTTTTGTTTTGAGATGGGGTCCAGCTAATTGCCCAGGCTAGCCTCAAAACCTGCAATCCTCCAGCCTCGGCCTCCCAAGTAGCTAGGATTCCAGTCCTGTGCCACCATGCCCAGCTCACACTGCAGATATTTTATCGAATAATAATACACTACAGTGACAAGTTGTTAGAAGGATTGAATTAGTGAACACCAATTAAAGACTTAGAGCAGAGATTTGCATATAGTGTATGATCAGTTTACAATGTTTTTCTTTCTGGCAAAACCTTTTGCTAGAAAGTCTAGAATAGAGTAGCAACTTGTTTCCCAGTAAGTAAAGAACTACCAAGCCCCTTACATGCATCAGGGGACATTGCAGTTGTCCAAAAACGTCAGCTGAAAAGGTGCAGAAGGGCCAGCAGAACTCAGAATGGTGCTCCAACCCTAATGGTTCAGACTGCTTAAAAGGCAGAGTCCTCACTTCTCAGTGGAATCAGCAGGCCCAGCATCTGACCCCAAATCAGCTAATGGTGGCGAGTGTGGCACAACTGGGCAGGACCAGCACCTCCTCGTGGGGCCATGTTGGTGGTCATCAGCTGTGCAGGCTGCGACAGACCTGGGCAGTGGAGCCTCCCTGGGCCGTGTGCATGAGATGGTGCCAAATACTGGCCAAGAGGCACCTTCAGACCAAATTTACCCTCTGAACACCATGGTGCACACGCTCTGGAGTTCTGGACAGCTGGTGTTTTACAATAGATAAGGAAAAGACACCCTGAAAGAGTCAGGTCAAAAGGCAGGGGTATCCAGAAGGTTTAAAGATCTTCTAACTATTAAAAATTAAAAAGATGCCTCAATTTTTTCAGTGGGTAAAATCCTTACATAGTACTTCATGAAAGAGGATATAAAAATGTCAAGAAACACCTGAAAAAAAAAAAAACAACCTTTAGTTCTCAGAGAGATCTAAATCAAATCACACCGAGATACCTCTTCACATCCATCAGGAGGGCTATGATTTAGAAGCTGGACAATACCAAGCGTTGACAAGAGTGTAAAGCAACTGAACTCTCAAATTCTGCCAGAAAGGCCTACAACTGTTTTGTAAAACAGCCTGACAGACACAAAGAAACGTTCAGCATTCCACTGCTAGGTCTCCACCCAGGAGAAGGAAAGCACGTGCCTAGGGCAGGACTTGCACAAGGGTTACTTTACAGCCTCAGAGGACAACATCTAAATGTCCAGCAAGCCAGGTGTGGAGGCACACGCCTATAATCCCATCACTCAGGAGGCTGAGGCAGGAGGATTGCTGTGAGTTCGAGGCCAGCCTGAACTATGTAGAGCCAGACTCTATCTCAGATACATGCATGCACACTCATGCACAACAAAACAAAACAAAAATAAGTACAAAAAAGAAACCAAATCTTGAAAAACCTGGATTTTGAGGAACACTGAGGCAGTGTTTCCACATGCCTCCTGGGGGCCATCTCAGAAATGTCTGCCCCCTTTAAAGTGACTCCAGGTACTACAATGAGGAAGTTTTGCCCCATAAGACCCCACTCTCTCTGTGCATTGCACCTGACCTTTCTGGGGCTGCCTACCCCCCTGACAGACAGCAGCAGCCTACACTTGTGCCTCTCACCTCCCCCATGGCTTTCTGTTGCCCTCCTCCTGCCAGAGCCAGGCTTCTGTCCCCTCCACCTTCCCCTTTGTCTCCTGCTGCCTCCGGTTCACCGACTGTTTCTGTTTAAAATCCTGTTTGGACCCTGGTGCAATCTTTCATCTCATTCCACGTCCAGCTGCAGCCTGAGCCTGGGTGTTTGTGGCTCAGCTGCAAGATATGAAAAGGGAAGGGACTCATTTCCTGCCTCCTCCTCAGCCCAAAGGTCTCCGATTTATCCAGAGCTCCTGGTGCTTTGCCTTCACCTCACAGAGGCTGCTGTGAAGCCGCCCACATGTGGATGTCAGCAGGGACCTCACAGGTAGGACGTGGGTGTGCAGACTTGCAGAGCTTGCACAGGCTGTCACTGTGCCCAGCTGCTGGGGGCTGTGGTGACTCCCTGGGCCTGTGACTGTTCCTTTCTGCCATGTCCACCAGGCTACAGCCCAGCCCTGGGGCAGCCAGTGACTGAGATGACACAGAGCCCACCGCCTGCCTCTCAGAGGGACAGTCCCATGGGGGGTGTTTGGCCCCAGAGCACCCAAGAGGATCTGCCGTGGACAGAGCTTCCCTTTTCCCTTCCACATGCTGCTTCCCTCCCTCCTCCCAGGCTCTGCATCTGAGAAGCCCAGAGGTGGGACAACTTCATACACTGTGCAAGTGGAGGAGATCTGCAGGCAGAAGAGGGCAGTGCTGGGCTGAGTTCAGAGTGGGCAAAACCTCCTGCCTTCTCCTGTCCACTGAAGTCCTATTTCCCTAGGACAAAATTAACCATCTTCACTTGCCAACCGTAAGGAACGGGCTTCCTAAGTTACAGGACTCGCATACAACGTGCACTGTGCCATCCTTAACAGCCCCGCGTGAAGCACAGCACAAGGTGTAGGCAGGCTGAAGTGGGAGGGGCCTGTGGGAGTTGTTATACTGCTCCTTCTGCTTCTGTACATATTTGAGATTCTGCATAATGCAATGATCATTAAAATATAAGTAACAGTTAATGGTGACATGTGCCTGCAGTCCCATCTACCTGAGAGACTGAGACAGGAGGATCACTTGAACCCAGGAGTTGGAGACCACACAACCCCTCTCCAAAGAAGAGGATTCAAGAAAATGCAGTGGGATATTTATTGATATTTAGAAATCATGCTACATAGGTAAGTGAAAAAACTGGCTAAGACCATGAATCCAAGTACTTAAAATTAAAAGTCTATATACATGGATTTTTAAATGTTAAGAAATTAAAATTACCCCATTCCTATTGACCCAGAAATTTCACTTCTGGGTAGAGAAACTGTATGAGAAATGAAGTGAGCAAAAAGCCTAAATGTCTACTAGTAGGAAGAAGGCTCTGACGTCTGGATCATACTCTTTTTTTGAGCCAGTAGGCAGCAGATAAAAAGGGAATTACAGGGGACCCTTGACTTTAAATTCAAGTTGGTCAATTGAAGGCTCAGGCTCCTCTACACAGCCTTCAAAGTCTCTCTCCTGTGTACAGGCTGATCTCAGTGTCCTTGGAGAGACATTGGCCCAGGATTTCTCAATTAGCCCCCCGCAGGAAAGGATGTTGTAATCTTTCTTCCAGAAGTCCTCAAGGGTTAGAACTGTGTCGGAGACCATCTGGAAGCACAAGAGGCCGGCATTCCAGTAGTAATGCAAGACTCTGTATGAAAGTTAAAACTAAAATTCCGGTTGTAACCCAAGCTGTTCATAGGTCAGGCCAGTCGTAACTCCAGGGTTCACTGTACCAGCTAACACTCAGGGCCAGGAGCTTTTCTAAGTCCCTTGGGCCCACGAGCATAACCCTCTCCCTATGGAATGGGTACTACTCTGAAGCCACCGTAGAGATGAAGAGATGCTAAGGTACTTGCTCCAGAGCAGGACACTGGTGCATTTCCCCATTTGAACCCAGTGGACCTTGCTGAGTCTGAGCTCTTTGCTGTCACGCTGTTTCCCCACCCAACAAGGACAGGCCCTGTCCATAGTAAGGAAAGGGCCACACCTGCCATTTACCGTAGCACTTGACAAGGCAGCGTTGCCTTTCATAGTCGCCTTGTGTGATCCCATTTGGCCTCATGGCAACTCTCAGAGGACGGAAGACATTAACTCCTGAAAGCCCCCTGAATAAAGAAGACAAGCGAAGCCCGGGGAGGTTAAGTGCCCTGCCTCCGTCACAAGGCTGGGAAGTGGTGACTCAGGGTTCAGATGTCTGAGATGCCCTCCACAGCCTGTGCTCTCGGCCTCTTTGCCCGAAGTCAGTCAATCACACACGCTGTGCAACCAGATAACCAACGGGGCTGGGGCACATTTTAAAGGTCATGAAATAATACATTTTGTGTAGGTACATATGGGAGCATACACCAAAAGTACTCACATAGGAGAAGGGAAAATGCAAACAGAAAGCTGAATGTGCAGTATAATTCTAACTAATAAAAAGAAAAGTTTAACCAGATGAGGTGGTATACATTTGTGATCCTAGAACTACAGAAGGCTGAGGCAGGAGCACTAGAAATTGGAGCCAAGCCCAGGCAACCTGGAGTGTTAGGGAGTCCCTGTCTCCAAAATTTTTTAAAGGGCTGAGAGACAGATGTGGTGGAGCAGATCTGTAATCTCAGCACTCTGGAGGCCGAGGCAGGAGGATCCCAGTGAGTTAGAGGCCAGTCTTGGCTTCCTGGTGAGTTCAAGGTCAGTTTGTGCCCCACATGGAACAAAAAATCCAAAAGAAGAGAAAAGGGCTGGGATGTGGCTCAGTGCAAAAGCCCTGGGTTCAATCCACAGGATGTTAAACAAACAAACAAACAAAAACAAGCCCCAAGTTTTCTACCTCTCTCTCTATATAAAGAACAGTCTGGAATGAAGTGTGTTCCCTTAATTAATTGGTCCTGCAGGAAGTAAGCGCTAGGAAAGAGAAAGAGACACCAGGAGTGAAGGGGCTGCCAGCAGGGAGTTGAGATCTAGCTAGAGCATTTTACTGTTTTACAAGAAGAACACATTCATGTATTGTGCATAATGAAAAACCAATAATGCCAAAAATATACTCCATGAATATATACTAAATTGTTATAGCAAGGCTTGCCTCTGCGTGGTGAGGTTTTCCTAGTTCCTTTCATTTATGAATTCTCCGCCTTGAGCATCTATGACTGGGACAATCAAGGCTGGGGAAGAAGGACCGGAAGGAAGAGACAGAA